TCATCTATAAAATCAACGTTGCATTGCATGAAACAACATTGCCAAGTTTATTTATTTGATTTGTATGCTGCCCCCTTAGCCATAGGGTTTCTGGGTAGTTCATAATATATGATGCAGCAATTAAAACAATGAATTTAAATACATATCACAATAAATATAGTAACCTACAATACATAATAAAAGCAATATATAACATTAATAAAATAAACTAAGATAGAATATAAGAGGGGTATATAAAATTGAACATTCAATATAACATTTCAAAATTACCTGAATGGCACATAAAATAAGAAAAATACATAATAAAATTAAATAAAAATCCTTTGGCTCTTTACTTGCTTCTAGGAGGAAAGACATGTTAGTCTCCAGAACTGAACTTCTTTGGACCTATCTCTGAGTTGTTACTCAGTTTCCTTTTCCTAAGAGGAGGGAAGAGTTTGGAAATGTGAGATGGATTAAGGCAGGTGACCTGCTTATTGTGCATGCTCAAGGGCAGTCATTTCTAGATTAGAAATCCAGGGTTCTCATCTTCTTGTGCAGAGAGACACTGTACAGAATTTTCCTTCTCTAGGCTCAGGACTGAATCCCGAGCCTCTAACCATGAACTTGGCTCTGTCTTTATAAGAAGAATGAACTATCTGCTAACCCAGAGCACAACAGAATCCCTGCAAGATAGAATAATAGACCAGACAAGTTCAGGCTTGTCCCAGTGGCAATACGTATAATTGTGCGGAGCTGCCAATAAACATCTGGAGATGTTTTGTTACCATCTGGAGTTAAAAGAAACAAAGACCAGAAGTAAGCAGTAGTACATGTAGCCTGAACTGTTAGAAAATTGAGGGAGCTTTGGTCAGCGAAAGTACAAATTTAAACAGGATTATATGTAACTTAATACAGTATATTCCTAACTCTACCTGACAGGCATATTAGAAACAGCCATCCTTGTTACAGAAAGGGTTAAGTCTAAAGTAGTTTTTTTTTTAATCTGCAAGACGTGCCTACATAAGGATTTAATCTGAAATACATATTAAAACAACCACCTAAGGTAATACCGCTTAATTTTAGAACCTCCCTGGGTTAAAAAAGACCTTGGAAGATTGCTTATTTCCCAGCAATTTCTTACTGATTCTTAGATAGTTATTTTCTTTCACAGTCATAATAGAGAGACTTTACCTCAGAGCAGTACAATATATGTAGCAGTACTGATATGATTAATAGGACTCAGGGCTCTCCTATAAACTTCTGAAGTTGGAAGCTTATGAGAATTACAGCACAACCCACTGGATTCTGCCCCCATTCATTCATTCACACAAATAATGAACAGTAACAAATTTAAGCACAACACATATGAATGTTTCTTTATGTTTTGTTTGGATCACTCAGGATTTCGCCACACAGAGTTCCATGTGCCTTAAGGTGCTGTTGTATATATCTCTATATATTAACAAATTCGATAAATATTCCATAACATTTTTCAATTTCTAGTTTGCCTCTTTGCATTTACAAATGTTTAGTGAGTTTCTTTATTAGTGCAAGGTTCCAACTTTTCTGTTTCCACATGATAAGAATGAGTTCATTTGCTAATTTCCATTTTTCATTTTTTAATGAAAGAAACTCATTGAAACCACCCTGTTTCAAAATAGTCTAGTTACTGCTAATTTATGATCACCTACTGCTACTGGAGTTTTTACTTCTTTTTTTAAAACTGAGGAATAGCACATTCCTATTTATGTATTTATTTATTTATTTTGGGCCTGCGAGTTAATACTTCCCATATAATATCTAAGAGCAGGACGATTCTGCCATATAAATTATTCATTTGACTGAATAATTCAGTATTCGACTGAAAAGATTGTTGTTGGAACTTACTTCACAAAATGTATACTTAAACATTATTGCCTTTATTTAAAAAAGGGATGTATACCTGGCTTGCAAACTCTTTGGACCACAATCAATTTTGCCTTATTTATTATTTTGCTTATGTAAACTTGGAGATATAATGCTGAAAAACAGTGCCTACTTGCATGGTCACTTCCAAGATTTAACTGAACAATTTCACACATACCTCCTCAGAAACAACTCTTACTGAGATCATTAGGGTTTATTCTTAAGTATGTGAAGGATTTCATCTTTACCGTGGTTGTTGCAGAAGAATAATTACAGCAGAATGGTTGTACATCAAAGAAAAAGTGAATAGGGATCTCATTCTAATGCAGTGTACATTAATATAGCAGAGGCTACATGCAGAAGTAGGCTACATAAATTGCAGAGACTGAAATGTTATTGTTTGGGCTTTATTTGCTTTGAAGATTATTGTTGTTAGCTCCTTTGAGCCCTTCAAAGTAAAGAAGGGATATAAATGTTGTGAAAAACTTGCTTCCTAGGGGAAAAAAAAGCAAATGGATGCCAGGCAGTCTCCTTTGCATGGCCTGTACCACTGCATCTGGAAGCACAAACAGTCAAGCTAGGCCAGGAAATGACCATGGATGTTTCCTTACATTGGAAAGTGTGGTGCTCCTCCAAGGAGGATAAGGTGGAGTGTTCGGATAGCAAAACCACTGCTACTATGATTTGGTCCTACCAGCTTTGCTTGTGACAACGGGAAATGTGGGGAACTTCCAGTGGTGCCCCTGGCCCACTACAAGCCACTGCCAGTGCACCAGAAACTAATTCTTCCTCAATTAACTGGAAATGAGCCAAGATGCCTGGATATGAATGAAGCAAAAATTAGAAGAAATTTCCAGTGACCTGTCCATTTGAGAAATATCTTTGTTGGCCTGTTTCCAGGGTCTTCAAACTTTTGTGGTTTGTGGACACATTTGGAATTTTATGAATGCGTTGAGGGTGCTGGCACAAAATGGTTCCACCCAAAACTATATGATTGTGAATAAGGGTTGTGGTTTGAGCCCTATAGAAGTGATGCGTAAACTACAGTCTACGGGAACTCAATATCCAGCTCTTGAATCTTATCTGGCTTCATTTTCTGCTTGTCCTGTTCCTTGACAGGAATCTACCCTTCTTGACTGGTCTTACTGACCGAACTAAACACTGTAGTCACCAGCCAGTGACCCTGAGAAGGGGAATTCTGCCAGTTGTCAGCACGTCATTGTGAGAGGGAGCACTGATGGCCAACAGAGGGGTTGGACTGAACTTTACATGATACATGATGACCCTAGATCTGTTGGGTTGGTAAACCAACATTAAGCCAGACTTTCCCATGATGGACATAACTGGTTTTGTCTTCACCTTCCCTGGCATATGAAAGAAAATGAAGAGTATTGATAGAAGGGCACACAGGTATGAGCCTCCTTTCCAGAGTGTTAAAACATGACAAAGCTGGTATCAAGGACTGGCATGATAAGGCATCTACCAAGGGCTTACATATCAGCAAGTGTCCACTAACCAGAGCTTCCTAAAATTGCTCCTCTGCTTCTTCTTTTCATCCTGATTATGTAAACTTGCTGCTTGTTCAATGGCTGTCTGGCTGTCAAGCAAGCAAGGGGTAGCTATGGCAAGAAAGAGGATGAGGCTGGTGACAAAGACATGAGAAAGGAAGCTTACTGAAGGAGAGGTCCACTGAAAGCCTGGGGCCAACTCTGACTCACAGGGTCCCCCAATTTCTCCAGGAACTGCAAGGTCATTGCAACCCCTCATCTCTAGAAAACACTGTGCCTTTGGAAGCCTTATTCTCTTCTTCCCCCACGAGAGGACCTGGTGGGGTCACTGGAGAGAAGGAAAAGCACTCTGCATATTCTCAGCGCAGTCAAGGAGGCCTCGTCCAAAAGTCCTCGTCCAAGGAGTCCTCGTCCAAACTCTCCCTACTGCTCCCGGGTTGCTTCTGCAGCACCTGCTGTTGCACGGCCAGTTGGCAACGAAGCGAGAAAGAGGGCGTGCAAACGGGCAGCCGGCGGCTCGCCTGAACTTTGCACGACTTCCAGGGGCTGGTGATGTCTCCGCCGCCGCCTGTTGCTTAGCAGGAGCGAACGTCACCCTGCGCTGCGGCCGGGCACGCCTGACCAGCCATTCCGGGGCTGCCTGCGCCCTCCTGCCGAAGCGGCAGCCCCTCCTGTCGCCTCGCGGAGCACGGCGGTGGGTGGGGGGCTCCTCGCACCACCTTTCCCGCCAGACCTGAGGGCGGAGGCCGGGCGGTGTCGGGGGAGAGCAGGTTCGGGCTGCCGACTCGAGCGGAGACTCTCGGGAGAGTTGAAAGCGAGAGAGAAGGGGCGAGGAACTGGGCTGTGATAAGACCATAGAAGGCTGTGCGAGGAGGAGAGTGGAAGCGAGAAGGGAGGGCGCGCAAGAATTTGGGGTGGAGCAGATAATACATGGGGGGTGGAGAGAGCGAAAGAGACGCCGAGGTGGGCAGAGGCTTGAAGGTGAGGGCTTTGCTTTTCGGGGACTCTCGCGTTAATGTGGTTGTGTCCCCCCGCCTCCTTTCTCCAAGCAAAACTTCTGTGGCGTAAAACTGAAACCAGGTGCTGTTGGGCAGCGCAGCGCAGCTGCTGTTTGGGAGAGGCGAGCAGGAGTCTGGAGTTCTCTCTTTCTCTCTCTCTTTCTCTCTCTCTCGCTGGCTCTTTTTTATTTCTTTCTCTCCTGACTTGCCCAAGGACTCGCTCGCTGCTCACTGCTGTTTTTCCTTTCCGCCCATTCCCAGTCTCGTCTGAAGGCGAGGCGAAGGAAGAGGGGGAAAACCTGCTCTACAGAAGCGCGTGGAGCTCTATCCAGGGGGTGAAAGCGGCTGTCTGGCTGGGCAGCTTAGCAGCAGGAGAGCGAGCCCGAGAGAAAGGTGGCGTGTCTGTCTTCCCTCCCAAAGGGGGCTCTCTTTGCCCACCCCTTGGCCTCGGTTAGTCGGGAAGGCTCTCGTCGAAGCTGACAGGTGTTCCTGGAAGGCAGCGGCTACTTCTTGCGCACCCCCTTTTAGTCCTCCTCCAGCACCCCCCCGCGCGCACAAAAGCCCAAAAAAAAGAAAAGGAAAAAAAAGCCCTTTGCCAGGATTACTACGTCTCCGGGAAGCTGAATCCGCGCGTCCGGATCATGCTTTGAACCTTATGCGAGACCGAGAGAGAACCCCCGGCGGAGAAAGAAAGGCTGCAGAGGGCGAACAGAAAGTTTTGAATGGGATTATGTGGACACTACTGCCCTGCTCTTCCCTGGTGCCCGAGCAGGCTCCGTGTCGTTGGTGCTGCGGCGGCTGCTTTCTCCTCGGCGGTGCAGCCTTCGCGGGCTGGTGGAGGTGGTGAGAAGGGGGAGGACTGCTCGGGAAAGGCTTGATCTCTCTGCCAGTGCTGGGCGTCTGTTGTGCGTGTGCGTGAGAGGGAGCTTCAACCCCAGCCTACCAAATGCTCCTCTACGGGTTCTTCTTGCTGACATCTGCCCTGGTCGGCCAGAGACAGGGAGCCCACGCCGAATCAAACTTGAGCAGCAAGTTGCAGTTCTCCAGCGCCAAGGAGCAGAACGGTAAGGCGTTCCTCGCAGTCAGTGTGTGTGTGGATGTGTTTTGTTGTGTCTCGACGAGACCTGAAAATGTTTGTAGCTGCGGCAACAACACGCGCGCGGGGGAAGGAGGAGTCGCTGATCCAGGCAGGCTTTGCAGTCCCGGCTGCAGTTGCAAAGGCTCGGGGGCTGGGCTGTCTTGGAGCTGCTGCTGGGTGACAACTTTTTTTTTAAGGGCGACTGTGTTTCCGCGCTGGAAAACAAGAACCCCCCCCCCTCCGATTGCGTTGAGGGAGCGGTAAAGATCTCGTCCGAAACTCGCCCTCTGGGAGGGAAAGCACATCTTCCCCTTCGCCGGATCGAGCCTGGAAAGATTGAAGCCGACATGAATGAGACTGGGCAGGTCTGACTTCAGGGGGTGTTTTTGTCGCTCCAGGAAACTTGTCAGCCTCGTTAACTGAAGCAGGATAGGTTAAAGGGCACCAATTAAGAAGCCAAAAGATAGGGACCCCATATTAACTCTTTCTCCCCCCCCCCCACCGCTGTATTTGTGTATGAAAGAGAGTTCTGATACGGCTGTTTAAGTGACTGGTTTTTGCTTCCCCTCTTTTGTCTCTGGGTTAGTGCACAATGAACTTTTATTTTCTACCTGTAGGTAGCTGTTCTACCAGCTAATCTGCATAGGAAGTAAGAATAACTTTTAAGCTTTCAAGTGCACCTGAATGTTTAGAAAACTCTCCAATGCAAGTTCCCCAGGGCTGGGTTTGAACAGACTTGGAGAAAGACTCCTTTCATTCAGAGGGCAACTTCAGGGTGTGCAATTTGCTTAGCCTCTGAACTCCATATGATTTACATTATTCAGATTTTTAAGGCCTTCTCCCCCCATCCCTTGATCTTCTGTTATGAAGCCATTGAAAGGAATACTTTGCAAACAGAAATGTTATATGCTACATGAAACCACACCATGAATGGAGGCTGGCTAAACTTAGGCCATTAAACACCCTGTTTTCCATTGGTGTATGGGGAAAATGTTTTAGTAGTTTCCTTGTTAGCCTTAAAGATGTGATTTCATCTGGACACAAACTAGCCAAGCAGGCACAAATAAGATTGTGGGGGGAGGGGGGATCTTAAACTTGCAGTTGGAAAAAATGAATGCAGCATTGAATAATTTGTGTTTTAAACAAACCACTCCAAATCCCTGTGTTTTCTGAAAAGTTATATATATATATATAGTAGCAGAGTGTGCATTATGCTGTTCAGTTTAGCAAGAGAATCGTTTGTGGCTAATGTTATGACATATGGCACCTGCAGACTGCCAGAGTTTTTGATCAAAGAACATCCCAGGGATCAGTCTCCAAACAGAGAGACTGCAGAGTGGAAGAGGAAAGTGATCAAAAGAGTGGGAAACCCAGCTCTGTATCCACAGGAAACTGATTAACCTTTGTCCCTGAGCACAGAAAGGCATCTACTTTGCATGAGAGTGGAGATCCTCTCTGGAATGGAGCCTTCAGGGCAGGGCTGGGAGTCCATGGCCCTCCAAGTATTGTTGGACACAACTCTCATAATCTCTGACTGCGGGCCATGCATCTTGAGGGCCACATATGTTGCTTTGGAGGTTGACGGATGGCTATGTTAGCCTATACACTGAAAATGCATTTGTGCTGCTGCCCTGCAGCTCTCCTAGTTGGTCTGTATCTACACTCTAACTGGCCTGGCACCAGATTCTTTTTGGGAAGACAGGATCAAAGTGGTTCATATACTCTGTGAACTGCACAGTCAATGTAATCATATGGGTTATAGTTGAAGAAGCCTGTATTATCCTTGCTTTCTCATTTCAGACCAAATAGGAGGGCCTGTGTATTGATTTAATTTGTAACCTGCCATTCTACCAAGAGAAGCTATTTACATAGTATTTCCATACAAAGATTTCTCTCACATGAAAGAAGTAGAATGTACCATAGGCTTATTCTGCAAGCAGACATATTTAATTTGGCAATGTGCCAATCACTTTTAGAATGACTGCATTCTGCATAGTAGATGAAGTAGCATTTTATTGGTAATTGCTTTTCATTTTGTATACCTAGAGTTATTCAGTATCCAAGATCTGTTTGTTTGTTTTTATAATGGACCATTGGGATAGTGATGTCACACAATCTTCACTCAACCTGAAATAAATAAATGGTTCCAAAAAACAGTCTCCACCACCTTGTGTAATTATGCTGTCTCTAAATCTGTTTGTATGTCTTCATTAGAGGGTAATTTGATTTACAGTTTCTATGCTTGTTACTGTGCTTCTGAGTAAAAGAGAGTAAAACCACCTCATAACGTTCTTAACACTTCCCAGTTATTTATGGGATTTCATTAATGCTGCTTGTAGTTGTTGTAGCTTCACAGTTAGAGTAGGTTTTGCACTATAAATGAAACTTAAACATTTTGTGACTATTGGATAGGAGCAGGTTAAAACTGTTTTAAAAGTTGCTATCAACACTTGCTCTTATGCTTTTAATGTAACACAATTGTGTAAACTGTCGTAACAATGCAATACACAGCATCACTATCTGATTTGTTTTTGTGATGTTTTTGGTATCTCTTAAGCAGCTCGTATGTGGTGTGGTGGTTAGAATGGGGACCTGGGAGACCTGGGCTGCAGTCACCCTCAGCCATCAAGCTCACTGGGTGACTTGGGCCCAGCCAGTCACTCTCAGCCACCTCACAGGGTTGCTGTGGTGGGAGATAAAATGGAGCTATGTAAGCGCCTTGCGTTCCCCACAAAAGGTAAAAAGGCAGAATATAAATGGGATATAATAATAAACATGTTTATTTGCGAGTATGATCATCCGAATTCAAAATAAGTATGTATAGTATTCCAGCCTCACAGTCTGTTTCTTTCCATGGGATTAAGTTCTAGATATCCATTGAACACAGAAACCTATCTTACACCAGACTATTTGCCCATTCAGCCAAGGCTTGTCTACTCTGGCAACACCTCTCTAGGCTTGTGCCAGGTTCCTGGAGATGCCAAAAACGGAACCTGGGAACTTCTTCATGCAGGGCATGTTCTCCTCTACTGAGTTGTGGTTTCTTTCCATCAGTTACAATGTCCATCTATTAGAAAACACTCTGAAGTGTTTAAAGTGGTTCACATACATTATCTTATTGACCATATAAAAATCCTATAGAGAAGGTCAGTACTGATACTGCAGGTGGTGAGAGGCCTGCATGTTTCAGGCTCCCTTGTAATTCATGGGATTGACAGAAATGTGAAATAGGGCCTTCCTGATTGATAGCACAGTTTCTTAGCCACAGTCCCACTACAGTTCCCAGCGTCTTTAATTAAAATGGGCACTTGAACTATCGTTCAAGATATGCAGCTTCTAGTTAAACTCTCTGCTTTTCAAATGTAAATAAAATTAATGCACAGTACCTTTGTATGTCTGCCAGGATTTTACAATCAGCGACAAGGTCTGTCCTCTAGGCCGTCTAGAAGATGTATTAGACTAATAGATACCAGGGACAGGGCCTTTTTGGTCATGGCTCCCAAACCTATGGAGCTGTCTCTTCTGGGATGTGTGAGTGGCATCATCATTTTGAAATAGTGATTCCTTGTTGGTGTTGTAACTGCTACTGTTCAGTTTTTAGAGAGCCTAATGTTATTTGAACTGGATGATTATTATGCTTTATCAAATGTTGTACACTGCCCTGAAATGAAAATTGTATGGGATATATAATTCAAACAATAATCAAACAATGCAATCAGTGCTATACATGTTGACTCAGAAGGACAAATGGAGTATATTCTAAGGTAAGTGTGTATAAGATTGCAATCTTAATTGTTAGTGTAATATGACATTTTTGCCTTGCATTACACACCAGGAATAGCAATTTTCATAGCAACTTAAAAGACTTTTTTCATATAATTAGAAGTGTATGAGAAGTAGGCATTTTGCCACTGGCTGCCAGGAATTTATACTGAAAGGCGTGGTAAGTCTAGCATATCTTTCCTGAAAAGCAATTTAAAATCTTATTTAAGCCTTCTAGTGCAAAATGAGTTGTCATTTTAACATAATGCCAATTCAAGGACCTTTGTTTATAAAAGGATTCTTGTTTTTTTATTTATCTTCTAGGTGTAACAGTTGTCTTGTCCTCATGGAAGCTCATAAATGCCTGGCTCCAAACAATATTTATGTTAAGTGTTACTTGTCATAAATGTTGGTATGAATGTTTTGAATCTTTCTTTCAGTCTAAAATATTAAAGTACTAGCAGGGACTCCTGTAACTTTGAAATTCAAGTTTAAAATAGCTGAAGCAAACTGTTTCACAAGTGTCTGGAAATGATGATTTGCTTGAACAGGTCATTAAGTCATAAATCACTGTGCTATTTCCATTGTTGCTGTCAAGAACCGTTTTCTCCAGTCTGGTGCTCTGTGTATGTTCTAGACCATAACTCTCTGTATTCCTGACAATTAGTTCTGCTAGCTGTGGCTGATGGGAGTTGAAATACTAAACACTTGGAGTGCACTAAGTTAGAGAAGACATGTTTGAATGGTATGCATTGTGTCAGTCTAAAATCTTGCATGCTGTTAACTTGTTCAAAATCCAGTTGGAATCTTGCAATTTAAGCGACCATGTGTGTGGGGCTGAAGCCAAAATCATATTCCTGACATGGCAAAATGAGAGACGCAGGGTCAAGTAAAATATCTGTCAAAGAGTCTGTTCAAGATTAAACACTGCAAAAGTTATCAGGAAAACAGACAAAAGCAACCCAAAGCCTTTTATATGGAGAACAATAAAGATGTTGCAAGAAAGAGAGTTAATGTTTTGCTATTAGCAGTTGCTCATGATGTTTCCCATCCTCTGAGAATAGTCTAGCCTGGGTTAAAAACTAGTAAGTCCCATTGGTTTCAGTAGGACATAGTTGGGAAAGTTATTTACATATATAACTTTTTTCCTATTGAAAGTAGTGAGATTTGCAGGTGTGGTGTTTCAATTCGTTATGTCCTCTTTCATTAAGGGTCTCCCTGCAG